GGCGGAAGGCGGCGGCGATGGTGGTGAAAGGCGGCGGCAGTGGCAGAAGGAGTTGGCAATGGAGGAAGGTAGCGGCGGAAGGCGGTGGTAGCAACGGTGGCAACGACAATGAGGGTGGAGGAAGGCGGCGGCGGCGGCAATGGGGGAAGGTAGTGGCGGCTGTGGTGGTGGTGGTGGTGGTGGTGACAAAAGGAGACAGAGGTGGTGGTGGAATGCGAGGGTTATGGTGGGGTGGGGGGGGGAAGGTAGTGTTGGTGGTTGTGGTGGCAATGGTGGATTGTGGTGGCGATTATTCTGGTGGTGGTGGTGATGGCCAAGAATTTCATTTCTTGGAATGAATTTCATTCCAATCCGTTTAGAAGTGGAATGGATTTTACTTCCAATTAAGGAAATTGTCATTATTCTCATTTTAAATATCATACTTAACAAGAGAATGGTTAGAACGGAATGGTTATTTCATTCCATTCATGCGTACCAAACTAACCCTTCCATCTTTCCTCCTCACAATACTTACCTTTAAACCTTTTTACATTTTTCCTCTTTCTCTCTACCTTTATAGCTAAACCCATCTCTATTATAGAGTTTTTAAACTCAATTTCTTATTGCATAAGAATACCACAACTTGACTACCAACGAGTTTCCATATAAATTTTGCTCCTCAATCTTCGGATTCTAAAACAGAATAGGAAGATGTCTTTTGCACATATCAACAATGTGCAACCAATTAGTGCTTCTCGGAACTTCCAAACTGAGAAAGTGCAACCAATCTGCAATAGTCGGAACAATCCGACTTCTTCATAACAACAATCTTCAAGAACTTGAGCAACAAGCCCAACAATTAACTAGAAGCTCGTCTATCTCATTTGGGATGACAGAAGACTTTTCAAGGATCTATGAGTTGCTACTTTCTCATTATCGCATATGAAGGAAACATTATTGATGTAGGACACTTTAATTATTTAGTAATTTTTTAGCTTAGATTTTGTATTTATTTTATTTTTATATTTTTTTATTGGACTTTAGTTTTAATTAGTTTCTTCTATGAATTATTTTTCTTTTGTTATTAACTAGTTTTATAGTATTAGTTTCCTTCAAGTGCCAGGATTTATTTTATTACAAATATGTGTGTTACAAATAGTAGAATTAATTTTTATTCATTTAATTATTCACTACAATATTAAATTTTATATCTTGTTTTGTAGATTTAAGACACTATACTTTATGAATTTAAACTAACTCATTTTTTTTTAAAAACAAATTTATTACTTTCGCTTACATCAATTCCTTGTTACAACCCATCTAATAAAAAATAGTCCTATAAAAATCAAAAGTTTAGATGGACTTGAGCAATGTGAATTCAAACCAACCAATTAAAGAAATTTTTCTGTAATAAATAATCTAGAAAGATAGAAAAATGGAATTAAACATGTGAAAGAATGTGAAAACCAATACATTAGTAACAAAATTAAAAATAGAAGACATTATTATATAATTATTGCATAAATGACTTTCAAACTCCTTTCCTCCTCTTTAAGAATTCGAAGATTATTAAATTAGAAATCCTATACTACGCGCTGCTCATTGTTTGGCCATCCATGAAATCTATCTCATTTATTAGTGATGATAATGTGGACCTCTGTACTAATGTTTTGTTAGAGATCCAAAAAAAATTGTACTGCTTCTTGAATGTAATTAATTAATTTCCATTAAAAAATAAAAATAAAAATAAAAACCATGTAACAAAGAGTAGTCCTACAAAAATCAAAGTTTAGATAGACTTAAAAGCAATGTGAATTCAAACTAACCAATTACTATCTTCACGTGGACTCCATGTATCATCATCTCTTTAATCTAGATATTTTATTTTGGAAATTACATTGCTTGGACCAATGAATATTGCATTTTATTTTCTGTAATAAATAATCTAAAGAAAAAAAAAAGTGTTTAACTTGAAACGATTCATAGGATTGGTGTGAAAGAATGTGAAAACCAATACATTAATAACAAAATTAGAAAAAAGAAGATATCATTATATAAACGGGTGAGGCAAGGTGGAGAAGGACCTTCTCCACCTCTGCCCGTTTAGTCCCGCGTGAATTTGTTTTCCTTCATCATTTTCGTCGAATTCCCTTTCAACTTCTAAACCTTTTCATAGAACAAGGTGCCAATGGCAATTGGCAAGGGAGGAACCTGCCATCCAAACTCTCTAGTTAACTCCATCGATCCGATTGGAAAATGGGATAACATTTACATTTAATATTAATCAAATTTAAAATATTAATGCATTCATACCATCATTAAGAAAGGAGGGAGGGAATTCAAAGGGAAATGTACATCCATTCACTAAAAAGTGAAGTGCTTTTATAAAACAAATGAGTGTGAATACATATATCTAAAATCAAACCGTGTTACATGTAGACAAAGATTCTCTTCAGTAAAGGAAAGGTCCTGCACACCTACCAACCATTTGAATTGTATTCTCACACTAATAATAATACCATATCAATAGTTGGTGGGTGTGCAGAACCTCTCCTTTTCTTAAGAGAATCCTTATCCGTTACATATATCACATATAGATGCTTCAAATCGTTCATTCTTGGGGATGATTGATAAAGTTGATGTGTAACGTTGATAAATCTTCAACTACCTTGATACCTTATGTTTTTGACGTTCAGATTTCAATTCCTTTGGAGCTATCTTGATCCAATGAAAATTTTCAATAATTATAAAGTGTTACATATGTCTTAATAATAAATTATAAAGTATTTTAAGTGGCTTGGTACCATCATAAAAAAAATTAAATTAAATAAAAAATCTTCAATTATCGTAGAGCCAACTCATAGTGTAAACTGGCTGACCGAGAGAGACTTCCATATTACGTACACCCAACTCGTACAATCCTTGATGAATTCATTTTTGTTCTATATGTATACATATAAATGGAGTCTACTCATATCATTCATCATTTCAATCATTTATTCAATCAATCAAATAAAAAATAAGACACGTCTTCTTCTTTAAAATACCTCATTCATCCTTTTCCCTCTATTTATTTCTCTGATAAAAGGTATTCCGTGTTTCATTACTTATGAATTGTGATCCACCCATTAGTATAGTGTGCAGAAATCAAAGGCTAAAGTTGGAAAAGCCGCCCATTACATAATGTCCCTTTGATATTTATCAACTCTTGAATTCCATGTCTGACCGGTTATATATCTTCGTCAAGTTACTTCTAATTCAGTCAACATTTAAAGATTATAACTGCACGGAAGTTATATATATATATATATATATATATATATATGGGGTGATGGTGTGCTGAGTGGTAAATTATAGAGTTTTTTAAAAAATATTACACTATTATTGTTTATAAAAAAATAAAAGGGTAAATTTTACTTATCAGGTATGAAATTTGTCAATTTTGAAGTAATAGATTCTCTTCTGGTGCAACCGAATTCTACTTATGTCAGCAAAAAGAACTTGATAAAATGTCAATTATACCTTTTTAATGCTTAAAATGATTATATACAATTTAGGAGCAAAATCATAAAATAATATAAAAATCATTTAGGTAGGATATTTAGAGCATGTTTGGTTTATAATTCTAAAAACAGTTCTCAGAAATTCAGAAACCAGAAAACATTTTTCACAGATCTATAAAAAAATGTTATTTGAAAACAAGATATTTTTGTAATTGAGTTTTGAGAAAACAGTTTTAAAAAAACTGAATCAAACACAATTTTTTGTACTGTTTTTAATTTTTTAAGAACAAAAAATTATTTTTATGGTTACAAATCAAACAAGCCTTACTTATTTATCCAAAATAACTAAGATAAGTTTTGTGAAAATTTATCCAAAATAAAATTTAATAAAATGACGAATTAAGTCATCAATATGTATTGACACGTGTTGGGCACCTGGGCCCAAAATTACTCTTCTCTCTCATACGTGGATTGCACATATCCGGGTAAGTCATCGATTTGGTGTCAATTGAAGAACCTTCTTACTTGAAAAATTAGCTGCACCCTTTCCTGAGAAATTTAGATGCAAAGTTCACTACGAAAACTAACTGTGAGTCACAATTTTCGAAGTAAACTTTTAATGTGGGATGAAAGGAATGGTATTTTTTTTTACATTAAATAATTTTTTAGAGGGCAGAAGGAATGAATGACACATTCCTAGAAAGAAGATTGTGTATTTCCTTCATTTTGGTTCGGTTGGATAAAAGAGAAGAAAAAAGAATACCATTATAATTTCCTATGTTCGTTAAGAGAAACGGAAATAGAACATTTTAATTGTTTTTACCATCATATCCAATAATATTTATAATATTGTAATTTAAAGATAATAGTATTGTAATTTAAAATTTATATAATTTAGGATAGTATTTAATTTAAAATTTCTAAAATAGCCTATTACCAAATAAAGAAAGTTCATTTTTTTCTTTTTATTTTGTCTCTACATTTCTTCATTCCTACCTACCGAACACAACATTATCTCTCTACACCTCTTCCTTTATTCTTACCTACTGGACACAACGTTATCTTTTCGCTCCCATATCACACATGAGATATGTTATTAGAGTATTAGGGTAGATAAGACTATACGGGTTGACTGAAGCGTTTGGTGTGGAAGTTTTCTGTCTATTGAATTTCTATTAAATTTCTTCAGTAGAATAAAGAAGGATGAATCAAGAAAGCAAAAGATACCAACAAGCCAAACCTTAGCCAAATAACACAGAGACGAAGACTTGTCTTAGTCCATAGGGTTTGGTTAAATTGGACCCCAAGAACACGTTTAACGTACGATTGGGCCCACCCATAAAAAAAAATAAAAGGGATAGAAGAAGTTAACTGGATGAATGTCTTTTGCATCGTCAATGACGATGTAATATATGTTGTCATACAAAGACGTATCGATGTGACGATTCAATTCACGCTTTTTTTGCTTATTTAATACCAATCAACAACCCCATTTCTTTACATATTCGAGAACTACGACCTTTCAGCCCATTTGAAAACGAAAAGCCCTTGCATTGCATCATCAGTTTGCTGCAGCATAGCATACCATATATATATATATATATATATATATATCATATCATAAACTCATTCAGCTGCCTCCCTCAATGGATGCACATGAAGAAGTTATTTCTTATAAAGAGAAGGTAAGTGCATGAGTTAACGTTCCTCCTTTTATCATAATCTGCTTTACTTTGAGCACTTAATATTTGGAATTTTTTACTTCTTACTTTTAGAGTAAGTCCTTCACTTCACACTGTCTACGCTTCTTTACTTTTGGACCAAAATTGGAGAAAAATGTTATAAACTATAATATTTTAACATTTTGATGTTATATAGCACCACTTATTTATGAGAAATTATTCCATATCCAGAGTTCCCATGCATCTCAAGACATTGTTTTGATAAATTATCCACCAAACGGCCTTTTTACAGCAACGTGTATGTGTGTGTGTGTGTGTGTGTATATATATATATATATTAACTTGATTTGTTTGATTAGGTGAAAAATCTGAAAGCAGAGTGTGAACGGTTAGGCAAAGAGAATGAAAATCTGAGGTTGATGCTAGAGGTTATGGGCGACCAATACAACATCCTTCTATCTCACCTCCACAATCTCAAGGATGAAAACCACCAAGTTGTAGCAGCAGCTAAGCCTTCAAGTGTGTTTGTCAGAACCAACTCAAATGACAATAGCTTAGTAAGTCATATATATATAATATATATGGTTGTATCATATATCCTATATATATACCTATATATACACACACATAATATGTACTATCCTGAGAACATGGCATTTGTTTCCTTTGAAAATTTTAGATAGTGAAAGATGGGTTTCAATGGAGAAAATATGGACAAAAAAATACTAAAGATAATCCATCACCTCGAGCTTATTTCAAGTGTTCAATGGCTCCCTCGTGCCCCGTCAAAAAGAAGGTATATTTTATGCTCCAATTTAATAATATTTCAAAGTTTTAATTTACCATGGGAAAATTATTCTTGCGCATGCTACTTAGAAATTAATTTATTTCTGAGTATTTTCACGGAAACTTCTCAAAATATCATGATTGACTTTGGAGTTTGAACAAGTTTTAAGAAAAGTGATTGACTAGTTGAAAAGCAAAAATACTGATTAGGTCTAGAAAGTTTATGCTATCGTTTCAAACAAGTACATATATATATATATATATATATACATACAGAGTACTGATCTCTTGCTCCCCGTGGAGTAAGAAATTTTTTCAGCACTTTCTATAGTAACCATTAAGTTAAATCTAATGGTCACATTCCAAACCCACCTATATGATTTCTTTTTAACATAAAACCACTACCACTATTTATTATTTTCAAATTTTTCGACACTTTCCTTTTAATACAAAACCACTATCACTCTTTACTTCTGAAAATCACATCTCACCACTAATAAGATTTTGTTTCTCTGAAAAAGTGTTAAAAAATTATTGTATACCTCCCTAAATGCATCCTATTTAAAAATTAGAAATTCAATTTATTTTTCTCAAACCCCTTTGTCACAAATTGTCTCATCTTCCTTATTATTATTATTATTATTATTATTATTATTATTATTTTTCTAGATTTTAACTAGTTGTAAACACATTTTAATTACTCATCAATATCATAATAACTCGCACAATATCCTGTTTCTAGTTCTACTATAATAACAAAAATTTATTGACGTAACGAGGAGATTGATTACAAAACATATTATTATTCTATTAAATTTCATATTTCTTTTGTAAATTAGTTTTTTTTTTTTTCTTGTTTTCTTTAATATTGCTATTATTATACTATCATTACTATTATCTTTCATTATCATCAAAAAAAAAAAAAAAAAATTTTTTTTTTTTTTTCATTATTAAGTGATAGATGCAATTTTCTAACACTTTTTTTTTTTTTTCAAAGAAAACAAAAATTCGAATTAGTGGTGATGATACGTGATTTCCAAAAGTGAACAAATTTCTATTTTTATTTTTTTAGTACTTACCTTTATTATTATAATTAGTGGTAGTGGTAAATATTAAATTTGAAAATTATAAATAGTGATATTGGTTTTGTATTAAAAGAAAAATATATAGATAGATTTGGAATATGACCATTAGATCTAATCTAATGGTCACTATAGAAAGTGCTGAAAAAATATCTTGCTTCACGGGATATATATATATATATATTTTGCAAATTAAGTAGGGTAACGTGCATCCGTAGTACTTCAATTTAAATGATTAAAATTATGCATTTAATTGAATTGGCTTAGCAAAAAGGATTTTGTATATGAGTTCTTGTTTTTTTCTTTTGGTATCAAGAGCTTTTCACACACACACACACACACTGAAGGCATTCTAGCTAATTGACTGCTGCTACCCTTGGTCATCTCTTGGGTTGTAGGTGCAGAGGTCCTTGGAGGATGAGTCTGTTCTAATGGTGACTTATGAAGGAGAACACAACCATGCAGCTCATGGACTAGCAACTGATTGTTCCACTTCTTCACCTGATAACACCATCAGAGCCTCCACAGCTACATTCCCTTCCTCACTCAGGGCAAATCAAGATTACGCCGCAGACAACAATGACAACGACGACCACCACAGTAACAGCTTCCGGACCAAAATTGGAGAATGTATGGCATACTTGACCAAAGATTCCAACTTCACCGCGGCTTTAGCTGCAGCGGTTGCACACTCCATTTCCGAAAAGCTCGGACCAAACAATGCATAATTTTCTTCTGATGTATGAACTCGTTTATATTTTGTCTACAGGGCTCACAATTGATTCAGAATTTTGAGTTTTAGCGTATACTGGGAAGGGGATCAGTAATCTATATGTAAAATTTGTAACGTCGAAAGATTACTCTTTACAGTCGCATTGATTGATATATATCAACATTTACATTACCTATTCAAAAATTTACAGAATAAATAATATAAAAGAGAGAAAAAAAGAAATGCTGAACTATTCAAGATTATTTTTACAACAAAATTTTGGTAGGCTATTTTACAATTGGCTCATTAAAGGGGCTTTCAACTCCATATCTGTTCCACAAATAATAAAACAATATTAGATGATAGAATAGAAGTAGGGATGTACTGCACCTACATTAGCATGGAAGTCACAAAATTGAAAAATAAGGGATTGAACAGACTTACTGCTTGGAAATGAGCATCTGTCCTTGTGTTTTCAGCTCACCGCGATGCTTCACCTTATGACTTCGGTTAACTGCCGATTTATTTTTACCATCTAATAAAATTATCCTCCCCTCATCGTTGACATGATCCGAAGTCTTGCCATTTTCACAGGTGAGTCCTTCTTAGGGTTTCGAGTTAACCATGATGGAGATAACTTTATTTATCCGTTAGGAAGCAGCTTGTGCTGATCTATATGATATAAGTCCAAAATACTTGATCAGTTGATGTTGGTACTCTTGATAGGAGTTCGTAGAAAGTGCTGAGACTCCTTGGGAGCAGTTGATTTCACTTTTTCATTTTCTGTTTCCTTTTTGCTAATTGCCTTCGTCTTTTCGTTTTCTAATTGCTTTTCCGAAACACTCTTCTTCGTTTTCTCATTTTCTGCTTCCTTTTGAGCTTTCTTCTTTTCAAACTCGAGCTGCTTGCAGTTTTCATCGTGGGCTTTCACAAACATCCTCACAAAATTGAACAAGGTAGAAACAACTGCAGAACACATTCCAAAGTGAAAATAGAAAATCGTTCATCTACAACAGAAATAGAGCACGAACCAGATAATTTTAATTATAAAAGGAAAGACAATTTACAAAATATTGTTTTCAAACTTAGAACCTTACAGATCAACAAAGACGCGGATAACATGCTCATCACTCTTTATGATTTACCTTTAAATTCCTTTTCTTTTTTTTTTCCCAGGGCAAGAATGTTAGACTAAATATTAATTGCCAGGGTTCGAAGCCAGGCTCCCGAGGACAACGGGGAGCAACCCAACCACTGGGCTACGAACATTTAAATGTAGCTTTAAACTACTTATGATTTCTCAGAAAATTAGGTGCAGAAACATATAAACTATCAATCACTAAAGTCATAGAGACTCTCTCTTCTATGAATTACAGACAAATATCGACATGAAACACAACAAAATAAAATAAAACAAACAAAGGGTTAGAAAATCTATCATCAGGAAATTTGCTTATAGCCACATTTACAGGGTCATTCAATAAGCTCCATTTCCACCCTTTTTCTTTCTTTTTCTTTTTTTTCGATAATTGACCTTTTTCTTTCTTTTTTTGATCAGGTTTCACACACATTTTGCCCACGCCCAGGCTCGAACCCCCTCCCCTCCTTTTTGAGGATGGGGGTGTCTTCTAAGAATTTTTAGTCTCCAAGAAACATAAAAGCTGCCACAACAGTAATGAGGAAAGAAAAGAAACATCTCCACCCCTAAGCAAGCAAGAAAGGTCATCTCCTTGCCCCACAACTACCTAATGGATCTTGAAACAAACTTACAGACAATTAATTCACTATTGGGTTCTAAATATAGATCCACACATCAATTAATACTGGTAAATGTGCATATGCACACAACAAATGTGATCCTCAGTAACTAGGTTCACATGGAAACAAAGCAAACAAGAGAACCAGTCCCATGATCTTGGGTCCAAATAGCTCAAATTGAAAAATGGTTGGTGTTCAATCTAACTTATGTTGAATCAAAACTACAAAATCATTAATCCCTCCAACAGTTATTCTCAAGCTAAGACCCAACATTCATATTCAAATCCACTCCCAGATCTCTAACGCGCTTCCCATTTTCAGAAACACAAGTTAACATTCCATCATCTTCTTCTATGTTAACACAAGAAAGGAGTACTATGATGGTCTACTCAGCATAATTCTCATATATAACCTTTCTCTCTTGCCTGATGATTAGATTTAGCCATTTTTTACCTCAACAAAGTCATTTCCCAACTATTTGGGATCAACTACATGAATCTGGTTATTCCATTCTACTCTAAGGTCAAAGCTTTATTCAAACCACACGTTACCATTTCTTACCTTACTAACTCTACCCATAATAATTTTGAATCTTTGATCTTTTCCCTCCCCTAGCATTACTGATCCAAAACTTGTCTCAATGTGGACCTTGTCACTCTTTCGAAAAACGACCTTAGTGGTCTTCTTTGCACATGTCCAAACCATCTTAATTGATTCTCTCATTTGTCTCCAAAGATTGCTACTTCATCCATCTCACACGTGTTCATCTCTAATTTTATTCTTCTCTTGCCGCATATCCATCCCAACATTTAAATTTCTGCCACTCACTTTATGCATTTGTTAATTATTAGCTGGCCAACATTCTGTCCCAATAAAGAATGGTTGGTCTCCACAATTTTTACCAAAAAGTCCTTTTTCCTTCCCACATATTAGTACCACCATGACTTCATTTATCTTCCCAGAAAATCTTGAGCAAATTCCTAAATTAAAAGATTTTAGGCATGTTACTACAGACCAACATTGCACCATCATTCTCCAAAAGTAAACAAAAAAACTCGAGATATTCTCGGCAAATTTTTTACCATTAGTATCAAAGCAAGGTAAACACCTAGTAAATAAGTAAAATATATGGGGATTAAACACTTTCATGAAACCATAATTATAATTTATCATCAGCTCAAAGTGACCTCTGCCTGACATAACAAGACTGCCTCATCCCTGCGCATTTTACGCCTCAACAAGAAATTTTGACAAGGAACTTTCTTCAACATATAACCGAAACATTCTTCTCATAAGATATTCTTACAAGACACAAGAGGATCGGACCGTTCCTTATCAAATAGAAAAAATGCGGGCATATCAACAGTCACTACTGATGTCCCTATGAGAAGAAGTCTAGATTAGATGCTCGAGGATATTCCAATGCTTAAATCTTAATCATTCATATGGCATTCATCAGATTTTCCCTGCAGCCTATCTTTGGAGGAGTGGACAAGATTGAAATGTTCTTCTATACAATAGCTACTACACTATTAAGAGTATTGTACCCAAGAGGGCTGGACCAATGCCATTTCTATGTGTTGTGAAATTGATACAGACATCTTTTAGGAGATGCTGCTGAGCATTTTTCAGCATTCTGCAGTGTGAAAAGTCGGTATATTTACTGAAAATTACATACTATACTCCCATAAAGAAAATGAGGGCATTTAGCTAAAAGAGAAATCCGCTACCCAGTGTGTTTGAGAGAACGGGTAAATTTGGTCAAAGAGATGCTACTGGATAATGCAAACCCATAAAAAAAGTCAACACAATGCCAATAAAAAGGACCCATTCTAAAGTATAGGATGTGTTTGTATTCTTTAGAGCAATCAATGCTTTCTTTTCCTTTAGTTTTCTTCAGATATCAAACAATTCATTTTGTCACTGTAACATATATTACCTATTTTGTAACACTTTCCAAAACCAAAGGGTAATTGGTTGTCTAACTATGCTACTGCACAACATATAAGGATAGAAGGCTAGTAAATTAGCTGCATGCTAAAGTTTAGACAAGCTATACTCTGACATGCATTGAGGCGGCTATAAAAGATATACTGTCAAGTCTGTAATCTTCATATGAAGTGATTCCTAATTCTAAAAATGATGATATTCTCATTAATCCAAAGGATTCTTCATTTTATGATTTTTTTTGGCATATATATGTGCAGGGGGACCCGCTTTCTCCTTTCTTATTTATTATTGTGATCAAGGCTCTCAGCAGTCAGCAGGTTGATGAGTAGGGCTATGGAGATGGGTTTCATTAGGGGGTTCAGAGTGGGTAGAGGTCTTTCTAGTCGGTTGGAAATTTCCCAACTGTTGTTTGAAGATGACAATCCAGTCTTTTGTGATGCAGAGGTGTCTCAGATCAAGAACGTGAGATTTGTTTTGATTTGGTTTCAGGTATTATCTGCCCTGAAAATTGGGGGAGGTTGCAAAGATTTCTACTTTAGTTGATATCGTTGGATGCGGAATAGGATCCATACATATTTCGTATTTTGGGGTTACCATTGGGTTCGCCCTCAAGGAGAGTAGGTGTGTGGGACCCGGTGATTGAGAGGTTCGAGAGGAAGCTTGCAGTGTCAAAGAAGCAGTATCTTTCTAAGGGTAGGTCACCCTAATGGGCCTAATGAAAAGCATGTTGTCGAGTCTTCCTACTTACTTCATATCTCTATTTCAGATCCCTGCTTCTGTGGTTTGGAGGCTTCAGCAGAACTTCTTGTGGGTGGTGGTATGGGGGAGTAATTCAAGTACCATTTTTTTGCTGGGAGGAGGTTCGAGAGGAAGCTTGCGGGGTCAAAGAAGCAGTATCTTTCTAAGGAGTATCTTTCTAAGGAAGGGTGGGTCACCCTAATGGGCCTAATGAAAAGCATGTTGTCGAGTCTTCCTACTTACTTCCTATCTTTATTTCAGATCCCTGCTTCTGTGGTTAGGAGGCTTCAGCAGAACTTCTTGTGGGTGGTATGGGGGAGTAATTCAACTACCATTTTTTTGCTGGGAGGAAGTTTGCAGACTGGTTCAGCCAGGTGGCTAGGGGATTCAGAGTTTGAAGCCATTTGACCAGGCTCTTTTGAGGAAGTGGTTATGGAGATTAGGTGTGGAGAGATAGAGATTGTGGAAGGGGGTCATTGCTAGCAGATTTGGGGAAGAGAGGGGAGGTTGGTTCTCCTTCGAGGTGAGGATTCCTGAAGGAGTTAGTGTTTTGAAGTTCATTCGGAAAGGGTGGGACTAACTACCCAAACATATCAGATTCAGGGTCAGGGATGGAAGAGCGTTCATTTTTTGGGAGGACAACTGGCGTGGTGACAAGTCATTGGCATGTACCTTTCCCAGACTCTTCTGGATTGCTATGGTTAGGCACGTCTTGGTGGCTGACTATTATTGGCTTCATAGCGGGAGGACAACATGGGATGTGCGTTTTGTGAGGCATTTTCAGGACTACGGGCTGGATGATGTTTCTAGGTTATTGGAGATGTTGTATCGCTAGGATGTGGTGGATGATGCTGCTCACCCTCAAGTGTGGGTGGTATCTTCTAAGGGGAGGTTTGGTGTGCGCTCGTTCTATAGGGCTCTCTCCGATGATTCGAAGGTTTGCTTTCCCGTGGAAAGCCATTTGGCACACAAAGGTTTGGTTTGCTTGGACGGTTGTTCTGGGAAGGATTCTGACTCTGGACAATCTGAGGAGGAGGAGAAGGATTGTAGTGACTTGGTGATGCATGAGTAAGAGAGATGAAGAGTCGGTTGATCATCTTCTGTTGCACTGCCCTGTGGCTAGGGATAGCTGGGGGCTGCTTTTGTCTTTGTTTGGAGTTCAGCAGGTTATGCTCAAGTCCTCGCTTGGTATGATTGAGCCTTGGAGAGGGTATAGAGCGGGTCCCCAATTTCATGAATTTTGGAGGGTGGGGCCCATGTGCGTTTGGTGGTGTTTGTGGAAGGAACGAAACAAGAGATCCTTTGATAGGGACTAGACTCTTATTGGAGAAAAGAAATTCTTTATCATTAGTTCTCTTTTTTGTTGGATTCCTGGAAGGAATTTGTAAATCTATGGGGGAGAGAGTTGATCTTTTTGATAGTTTGATAGGTTAGGGGCCCTATTTGGTCCTTGCTTGATTTTGTGGGCTGCTTTCCCTGGTTGAGCGCTTTTTAATACAATCTTACTTATCAATATATATATATATATATATATATATATATATACGTGTCTACTACTACTACTTGTCTTCTGTCATCAGTTGAAACAAAGGGCAGTCCTGCAGCCAAAATCGTGTTTATCTACGAGAATCTCTCACTAATTTACATATTGCATATTGCACAAAAGACCAGACCCAGAGATCACCAAAGAGGCCCAGCTAAAGGCAGCTCACAAGATTTTTAAGGCTATTCAATCCTCACTAGTCGGAATTGGTACTCAAAACATGAGCATTTGAAGGATGAAGCCCAGGCAGATGGTAACAAGGCTGCATCTATCACTGACCATCACTGACTTCTGCTTATTGTCCTTTATTTGAATTTTGGTTGCAACCTTGTAACACAGAAGTATAAAACAATCGGCAATTAAAGGTCAAGTATCGAAGCAGAGCAATAGATTATAATTTATGGGGGTGTAAGTCACTCTGGTGGTTTCTGCGAGATTAAAATTTAAATAGAGGGTCTTATGAGCTAGTTTTTTGACAGTGAAGTAATTATTAAAATTAAAAGTATTTCACGTAGCATGCTTGTGTGAAACCAAAGAAGCCACCCATTTAACCAGAGATCAGTCAGATTAGTACTTGTTGGTTTATGAGTCACTCTTGTTTGGGTTGCAGCTGTGTGTTTTCCATTTAACGGAAAATCCATAAATTAAGCTCAAGTCCTTTAATTTTAGCCTCTTTGCTCTCAATCAGTTTATGCTTGCTTCAAATATTCTGTAATTCTCCACAAGGGCATTTCAGTAAATTATCCTCTCGTTGAAAATCAGCTATAAATGACAAATTCTAGATTATGTTAAGAGCTCAAAAACTCTCTTACTGTGTTCTGCTGTATTTCACTCTAGCTGCCTTGCTGATACAAATTAAAAGAAAATACTAGAATTCCACAGTCAGGTGGTTTTGGACAGCTCCCTGATTTTTCCCTCCCAACGGATAAGCTCAAAATTCAATAAGGATCCCAAAGGTTGTATGACAGTCGTCTATATATTTTCAGCCCTTCAGGCTCTTTTTCTGCTAACCTTTTCTTGCAGTTGAACATATTGATTATTCATATGTTCTTTGAGAAACCTGTTGCAAAAGGTTATTAATGGTGAGCTGCTGAGATCATGAATATAAAGCTAAATGTCATGAGGATAACAAATGATTAGTAGCAGGTTGCACCAGTACCAGAGCACTCTGCAGATTCATAAATGCATATGCTGAGAGCTTGTTACTTCAGGTATTCATGTCTACCTAATCAAAGATGATTGAGCAAGTTTGCATGTCACTCATATCAGCTTATTGCCTCTCTCTAGTCATCGAAAGCTGATACCCTGAAGCTGAACCAGTAAGCAAAGTAGCTAAGCAGAAGTCTATCTGTCTTTTTTTGATAAGTTAAGCTGCAGTCTATCTGTCAGCCTACAACTATTGATTTGTACACTGCTTTTGTTTCATATTTCCTTCTTAAGCACTATGTTGAGTGAGTATCCAGTCTTTTGCTGTTTGTAGAAAGTGTGCAGTAGAAAAAAGCAAACTGTATTGTTGTAATTGTTTGATCATAGAAGAGATACTTGCAGAGCTTCATAGCTCCGCAGATGTTTTTTCTTTTAAAGGGGTTTTACCACATAAATCTTGTGTCATTTGATTGGTTAGTTGTTTGCAAAAGTTTTGAAAAAGCAAGAAAGCAATACACCCCTCCCCTATTGGTTTCATCAGTACTCCGTCGTGACTGAGCTACAGCTGAAAATGTACTTACTAACAAAGTCAGTAAAATCACTTCGATTAAGTTATGACTAAGTTTTCAATTGTTCTAAAATTATTGCCATTTAAGAACAAAGTTCGAGTGTCCTATTATATATAGAATCTGTTAAATTTGGATGCGGAAATAAGAAATGCAAATAGGAAAAGGGAAGAGAGAACACAGAGATTTACATGGTTCGGCACTAAGGCCTACATCCATGGACAAAGAGCCACTAAGGACTACACTTTTATTATTTAGATTTGTATATTGCTCAGGTACAAAAAGCCTATATATAGGCATGGTAAAGATAAGAACATATCGAAGGTGTACAATAGTCAAAGGAGGCACCATGATTAGTGGAGGATTTTGCTCCACCGTTATATAGAAATATTTATAGTTGGATCACTGTGATTGGTGCAGGATTTTGCTACACGATTATATAGAAATATTTATATATTTCAACACTCCCCCTCAAGTTGGAGCATGAATATCATGAACATCCAACTTGCCAAAGAAACGACTCGAAAGATGATGAGAAGGTGTCCGGAACAAAGCCAAGAAATTGACCAGATCTTGCTGGGGAAAATAAATTGAAACTCGCAGGGGAAAATGGCCGGAACAATGCCGGGAAATGGCTGGAACTAAGTCAGAAAAAGCCGGAACGCCGCCTGAAAAGGAATGTGAAGACAGAAAGAATATGCTCCATGATAATAATTCCAATACTCCCCCTCAAGAACAACCTGGAACTAAGCTGGTCAACAACAAGCTGGAACTTCGCCGGTCAACAACAAGAAGGTCGGAAACAAGTGGGCCGGCAACGCCAGTTAACAACTTGGCAGAGAGAACATGCTTCCCCACAAACTCGAAATGGGCTGGTACAGAATGAGAGTTTGAAAAATAAAATGATCACAATATTTTTTTTTGCTTTTTTTTTTTTTTTTCCAGTGTGGTGGTAGTAGACATGTGCACACCACTGTACCAAATTTTTTTTTTTTTTCTTTCTTTCTCCAAGGGTTTTCAAAACCTAATACAGGCAGACACATTGCCCAAAACAAATAAAATAATACAACCCAAAACAGAGCTCCAACAAAACGAACCAAGGATGAAGAGATGATGACTGATGCGGAAATTGGGCGGCAACGATGCCTGGAATGATACACAGGGTATCCCAAGGCAAGTAGACGGCAACAACGAAGGGGAAAATGGTCGCTGTGGTGGAAGGAGGTCACCAGAGGAAGCAGCAACTGTAAGTAAACCAGAGGAAGCCACTGCAAAACAATGGCGAATTCAGAGATGACGCCGGCTATTAGCAAGTAGTAACGACGGCGGCGAAGCGCGTAAAAAACTTGATGAAGCACACTGGAGGTGCGTATCAGGCGCGTGATAACACGTAATCTGGAAACAGTAAAGGAAAGGAAAAGAATTGCAGAGCTCCAAATGGAGCAACAACTACCAGGTAACATGCCAATGAATACTCCGGTGACTGCAAGAACAATTGCGAGCAGAGGAAGAGATAGATGTCGGCGAAGGACTTAACCGGTGATAACGCACCTTGCAACGACTAGAACACAACGAAACTGCTCTCAGAGCAGCAACGGAAACTGAAGGCAGATCTGCTAACAGGTCTGAAAATTACGCCGGAGAGCTCGAGCTAAGGTGTCAAGATCTACAGCATCGGCGAAGTCAAAGAAGGCTCTCTGGTGACTGCGGAAGCAGAGCAAAGGAGCACGTGGTGAAGGATTCCAGAACAGAATGGCAACGGAGACAGAGACCTTAAATCTGCAAGAAGGGGATGATGATGGACCGTCGCTGGAGATGAGGCTTATGCCCCCATCTCCGACGGTGACTCTAATACCATGTTAAATTTGGATGTGGAAATAAGAAATGCAAATAGGAAAAGGGAAGAGAGAAAACACGGAGATTTACATGGTTTGGCACTAAAGCCTACATCCATGGACAAAGAGCCACTAAGGACTACATTTTTATTATTTAGATCAGTATATTGCTTGAGTACAAAGAGCCTATATATAGGCATGGTAAAGATAAAAAATATGGAAGGTGTACAATAGTCAAAGGAGGCACCGTGATTGGTGGAGGATTTTGCTCCACCGTTATATAGAAATATTTATAGTTGGATCACCGTGATTGGTGGAGGATTTTGCTGCACAATTATATAGAAATATTTATATATTTCAACAGAATCAATACCTAAAATATAAATGAAGGATTCTAAAAAAATTATGTAACTAGAAGAAGCTTGTTGACAGCTCATTCCCATCTTCCAGCTATTATGTATTGCATCAAATCAAGGAGATCTCATCAAATTATTGAAATAATTGAGCCACTCTAAAGTTATTTATTCATAGCTGTATAAATTCAATCAAGATGACTTATGTACCACAATACTTCTCTAAACTAGGCAGATTATCGAGTATAAAATCCAAAAATAGAAATGGCGAATCAATTTTGTTGACAACTTAAAACCATCATGTGGCATTCCATGGCTGATGGCAATCAGCAAGATCAAAAGCACAAGACATGTGGACCATAAAATTTATTTTCATGTTATTTTATTATATCCTACTGCAATTTTTTGTGAGTAATAAACTAAATCGCCAGATACCTTGCTCGAAAGGGCAACGGGCAGGATCTTCCCCAAAATAAAGAGCCAATGCATCGGCATTCCTTCCCTGGAAATCCAAATTTAGATATCCGTCAGTGATGAGTATCCTCATCTTTTCAAGTGTTAAAAACATGTATTAAGCAAATGTGGGAACATACCACACCAGAATAAAGTGAAGCCAAAGATCGCACTTCAGCCTCAGCAAAACCAAGAAACTCCTTTAAAATCTGATCATTGAAAAAAAATAATAATAGCAGTGATTAGAAAAATAGTTTACACACTTTTTTTTTTTTTTTTTTTTTTGATAAGTAATGTATTAAAGAGCGTTCAAAAGGGGAACGCATCACAAAAGAGCTACAAAAGAACAGAGGGCCTCCAAACCCTCAAAGAATCCAAAAGATCAACAAACTCCGCTATGGATTTACAATTTCTCCCTATAACCCATCAAAAAAGGGTGCTAATAATGGAGAATTTCAAAGACCCAATAGGATTTTCCTTTACTTCAAAAGATCTTCTATTTCTCTCAAGCCATATGCACCACCAAACGCATAAAGGTGTAACTCTCCAGAAATCCCTGACTTGAACCCCAACTGTACAGCCTTTCCAAGCCTCAATAAAGCATCTGGGAGACCTCGGCATAACCCATTGATACCTGAACAACCCCAGCATCAACATCCAACAATCCCGTGGCACTGGGCAATGCCAAAGAAGGTGATTAACTGTTTCCTCATCATTCTTACACATAAAGCACCAGTTAACCAGAATCTGTATCCTTCTCCTTGGGTTGTCTTGAGTCAAAATATTCCCTAAGATGGATGTCCATGCAAAAAACGCCACTCTGAGCGGAGCCTTCGAATGCCAAGTAGCCCTCCACGGAAAGGGAGTCGTCGGAGTATCGAAAAGACACCTATAAAGAGATCTAACATCAAAGCGCCCCTGACAAGAAGGAAGCCACACCCAAGAGTCAGAGACATCACCCCTAATTTCCGGTCAATACAGGAGCTCCAAAAAACCACAAACATCCTCAATTTCCCAATCCTGAAAATGCCTCAAGAATCGAACATCCCATACTGTTCTCCCACTATCAAGGCGATAGCAGTCGACCACCATAGCTTGACGATTAGAAGCAATCCGGAAAAGTCCAGGGAAAGTGTGCGAAAGAGAACAATCGCCACACCAAATTTCCTCCCAGAAGCGGATTCCCCTGCCATCCTGAACATGAAACCTGATATGTTTAGAGAAATCATCCCATCCCTTCCGAATAAATTTCCATACCCTAACTACTTGGTAGTCTCACCTCCAAAGAACACCAGCCCCCTCTCTACTCCCCATATTTGCTCATAACCACCCTCCGCCATAATCTATGCCTCTCAATCCCAAATCTCCAAAGCCATTTCCCCATTAAGGCCCTATTGAATGGCACCAATCTTCTAATACCCAAACCTCCCTTCTGGATCGAAGTGCAGACACGCTCCCATCTAACCAAATGAAACTTAAACTCTTCCCCCTTACCTTCCCATAGAAAATCCGTTATAACCTCTCAATTATCTCAGCCACACTACAGGGAATTTGGAAGATCAATAGGAAATAAGTAGGAAGACGCGATAGAGTGTTTTTCATCAAAGTGACCCTCCCACCTTTAGACAAATACTGCTTCTTCCAACCTGCTAGCCTCTTCTCAAATCTCTCAACCACCGAGTCCCAGTTACCCACTCTCCTAGATGGAACCCCAAGAGGCAGTCCCAGAGGGAAAAGAACCAATACTGCAACGCAAAGTGTTGGCTAAAGTTGAGATTTGAGGAACATCCCCATGTTCACCTTTAAACCAGAGACAACAAAAACCAAATCAAAATACATCTCAAGAATCTCATCTGGGAATCATCAGCGTCACAGAAAACCAAGCTGTCATCAGCAAACATCAAATGTGAAATTTCCAACCGGCTAGTGACATCTCTTCCCACCCTGAAGCCTCTCAAAAAAACCTAGATCCATAGCCCTTGCCATCATTCTACTAAGACTCTCCATCACAACTAGGAAAAGAAAGGGGAACAATGGGTCCCCTTGTCTCAACCCCTCGAGCTGCCAAAAAAACTTGTTAGAGCACCATTGACGAGGACCAAAAATCTAGCACTAGAAATGCAAAACTCAATCCATTTCCTCCATCTCTTCCCAGAACCCATGCTCTCAAGAAGAGAGAAGAAAGCTTCAACTAACGTGATCATAAGCCTTCTCAATGTCCAGTTTGCATAAGACCCTGGAACCCCACTACACAACCTAGCACATTCGTTAGCAATAAGAGAACTGAATCCAAAATCTGACGCCCCCCAACAAAAGCATTTTGAGAGTCCGAATTGATCCTGTCCAACACCTCCCTCAATCTCAAAGCCAAAACCTTAGTAATTAATTTGTAGATGCATCTCACTCCCTATTGTTTATGGTGGGGCTTGTGAAGCGAGAGAAATAGGAGATCTTTTGAGGGAGAGGAATCTCCAATTTGGTCTCTCAAATACAATATAATGTTTACTTTATTTTTTTGGGTTTATGGGCAAAATTGTAAATCTATGTGGGATCTTTTGGATTTTGTGTATAGCTAGAAACTTTAGTGTCGCTTTGGGCATCCTTTTTATTCTTTTGGGTTTGCTCCCCTTTTTGAGCGCCTTTAATGATATCCTACTTATCAAAAAAAAAAAAAAAAAGGTGCAAAGAAGGAAAAGAATACATACAAACCATTAAAGTTAAGGGCCCAAAAGCTACAAATTTTAATTATGTTAAGCGTATAAAAGGTGAGGATCTAAAGGTCTACAAGAAAGATGCAGAGAACAAAGAATACTTTTACAAGCTGTAGAATGGAAATCAAATAGGACACTTAGGTTTTGAAGAACATAGTAACCTTATGGAGATTAACGATAATAAATACTTCTGTGGGGCCAGGGTATCCAAGGTAAAAAGAAAAAAATGTACTCAAGAATATGAAAACAAACTGAATAAGTTTAATAACCTATTTAAGACTAGGGTGCAAATCGTGTTAAAGGGTCGTGTTTGTGTCATGTCCAGACAAGGGTGCAAGCTTCTTAATTTTATATAGGTTGTATAACCAATGACATGAAACGACCCATTTAATAACCTATTTAGTATTTTCCTAATTACAAAATGCTAATATAACAAAATATTAAAATAATAAATAAAAATTTAGGAAATGACTAGACCTTCCGTACACCTATAAATCAAAATGAATAAATAGGCGGGTTCCTTTGGACATATTGTTTGATTGAGGAACACCTATAAAGTCAAAATGAAAACTATATATGGGTAAAATCTCTTTTACAAGAGACGGGTTTTTCCAACGGCAAGCCTATTGAGAATGATTTGTGATAATCAGGCTGCTATGTACATTGCTAGTAATCCAGTGTTTCATGAGAGAACTAAATATATAGAGGTAGATTGTCACTTTGTGAGAGAATTGGTGATCAGAAAAAGAATAGCTACTACTTATGTGAGATCCAAAGATCAGTTAGGTGATGTATTTACCAAGGCATTGGGAAAGTCTCAATTTTCGAAATTATGTAAGAAGCTGGTAATGATAGATATCTATGCTCCAGCTTGAGGGGAAGTGTTGGGTAATATTATAACTAGTCATAGAGTTTGGGGTCTACTTGTAAATATATATATATATATATATATATATATATATATATATGTATGTATGTATATGTATAATTCTGTAGGGTTCTCTTTATTGAGTATACCCCCAAATATTATGTCTCTCTCTCTCTCTCTATAATTCTCTCTCGCTCAACACATCATTCATGTAACTGACTCCAAATAATTGAGACAAAGGTTGAATTCACAGAGAGAGAGAGAGAGAGTTTATTGTCATGGTAAAAACATGACCTTTCACAGGTACTTATATCCACTGAAAACATGCCATATTTGTTTCTAAAATACTTTAAATTTTAATATTCTTTTTATATAATCGATTTTGGGTGTATGTAAAAAAGTAGAAACTCCCACCAATTCACAGTTAACCATGGTATTATATGTCTTATTATGCTACACAAATCTATTTGGTAGATGACCCATTTGTGCATGCATAAAATAATAGGTACATAGTATTACAAATTGAAAAGTGCACTAAAAGAAATGTTCTAGATGTGATCTATTAGTTTGCATAAAATTAAATGAACGAATATAATCTTAAGTCTTACATCACAAGAATAAAATAAACATAAATGAAAATGAAAAACATTAAGGTAAAAAAAAAAAATGAAAAACGCAACTGTAAAAGGTTATCAACCAAGCTGTCTACTTTGCAGTTCAAGACACACACATAAATTTATTATGTTCACAAATTACAGAAATTCACTAGATCTACAGACCAATATTATGGCATAATATTACGATAAGTATAACAATTCCATACATGTCAATAGAAAAAAACACCCTAAGAAGTCTGGCATAAATGGATTCAGGTGCAGATTGTCCACCCATGCAGATATGGAGGTTATTATTTACCATACATAAATGACATCCACATCATGTTGCAAATTTGAAAATTCAAGCACAGAACTGATATAGAGAAACTTCATCCATATGTATAATACATTTTTTTGCCAACTCACACAGTTTACCTTGCAAAAATTTTCAGACACGGGACCATCATTTTCTGAGGCAGTTAGTTCCTGTACAACTTTCTCTAGCCCCTTGCTAATGGCTTGCATTTCCTCTGCCAAATATTTCAGTTGTATCTGCATGGTAAGCAATCATTTAACTCAACATATGCTAATTGTGTAAAAGAAATTCTATTGTTTCCATAAAAATGCATAAAAAATGAATACCTTTGTTGAAGCTTCCAAACTCACAAGATCTTTCGGGAAATCTAGAAGTTCTGGTAGCTTTTCCGCAAGCACCTACAATTTGTCAAGAAAAGTTTTGAACAAATAGTAGTGACTATATTTGGAAAGGAAAATAGTAGCGTAAATAAGGTTTCTCCATGTACTCTTTCTTTTTCCTTCTCTAGAGTGTTAACAATGAACCAACCATTAGAACTACTCAGTTTTCTCTCTCTACAGCATAGGAAACTAGCACGAAAAAAATCCACATCTTTTGTGGGCTAAGAGATCTTTTACCCTCAAAATTCTTATGAAGATACTGTTTGAATCAAGGCATGCTAAGAAGAAAAGGGACAAGTCAAAAATATAATATATAGCACGTCATGGACCTTGTGCAATCAAGTTTAGGGTTGAAACAAGTCTTAGTTTATGTTAATTTTAGGTTTAAATATAGTTGGTACAGGTCTGTTTTTGTTTTAAAAGGTTTAGGGTCAATAGTATTTTTTCTTTTTTTCTTTTTTACTAAAAAAATAAAAATGAAACATTTTTATGAATAAATAGTAATTATCAACAGTAGATGTGAAATACAATGAAAATCGGACCCACAACTTATCATGGAGAAATCATTGGTTGTAACTTATCTCATTTCACACATAACAGGCATTCTTTGCATAACTCTTTTATTCTTCAATTGGACCAAATGTTTATATTGTTCATCTCTCTTTAGAGGGCCTAATTATTGTACTTCCTTACTTATCAAAAAAAATTATTGCACTTCCTTAATATTTATTGGGATGTAGAAAACTTGCCCCTGAAAATGACATTTACAAGCAAGGAATTTGAAAATTTGTCCTTAGAACCAAAAAAAGAAAGTTTGACCTTGGAACTAATTAGACATACAAATAACTGTGGGATACAATTATATAACCAGAAACTTTTTTACAAATAAATCGTAATTCTCAACAGTAGATGTGAAATAAAATGAATATTGGCTGCACAAATTGTCATGGCAGTAAACATTGCTTGTTAATTATTTCATTTCCCAAGTAGAAGATATTCATAGTTTTTTTATTCTTCAGTTCAGTCAAAATATTAAAATTACCATACAAATCATAAGGTGCCATTACTTGGTGCAATGATAAAAGCTCGGGATCTCAAGTGTTAGAATATCAATTCAAGTCTGAGGGCAGCCACTGTATACAACTAATAGCAAATTTTTTTTTTTTTGATAAGTACAAATAATAGCAAATGTTATGGTCAATACCTAGTATACTCTTTCCAACTCCCCTTGTTGGCAGCATCGGTACTGGGTAACAGTCATTTTTCCATATAAAGAATACAGTAAGATATGATACCCAATAAGGTGCATATATCAGTGCTTGTCTGCTTGATATTGATCATTTTCCCCACACAGCTAAAGTCAATCATCCAAAGAAAGTCATCAAGCTCTCATTACCATCAACAAGTGGCACAAAGATAGCTAATACGGATTACAGAGGTTCAATTCTCAAGTGGGGTGGTACCTCTATTGCTATTTTTTTGCTCTTATGGAAGCCCCCATCCTCCACCCGTGAGGGCCGCAACCGGAAAAAAAGGGTCCCAACTCCTTATACTTGTTTTAGCTGATGCTAAACTTTTTCTATGGGTTGTTATGTAACAGCCCACTCCACCACATGGTATGATATTGTCCGCTTTGGGCTCAAACCTGCACGGTTTTGTTGTTGGGTTTTACCCCCAAAAGGTCGCATGCCATTTGGAGATAGCACTAACACATATAAGCACTTCACCTTTTCCACACCCAGGCAAAGTGGGATTGAGCACCCGTAGCCTGCTAGTACCTCGCACCCGCCCACACATACCCGCCCACAAGGTCGCCACATATTACCTTTCGTCCTTCATTCTTGAGAAGAGCTCCTTTCACATTTTATTTCCTTTTTCATAATTCCATCTTGTTCCCCACAGAAAAGGAAAAGCCCCCTTAGGTATGGGTAGTCAATAATCACAACATTGAACTTCAATTTAAATAGCCAGGTTTAAATTTCAATGCCTCTAAAAGTGGGCTCAATTTTCATAAACTTCAAGGACCAAAATATCAATCACACGCTATTTAATATCTTTACACCTTTTAGTCACTCAATAGAAAGGCTGAAAGTTTATGCACGTATAGCATGGAACCTTACTTCGCATTAACCTAACAACATCTGTTGCATTATTCTAATAGCTAATGGCTTTGACCAACGTATTCATTATTGGAGTATGCACGGAGTGCCCACAAGAATATTTGACATAAGTACACTTGAATTTTAAAAAAAGAAAACTTTCAAATGATATGAACTCTGATTCCATTCAACACGGTTGACATACCCTTTGTGTAATGGATTTTAAATTTGGTGTGCTAAATATTTGGTGTACTACAGGACAATAACAAAATTGGCAGATAATAAGGATCAGAAAAATCAAAGATTATGTACCTTACAAAGATAGTGCATGAGAGTCATCTTGTTGTTTCGGGCTCGTGTATCAGTGAGTTTAAGAAGACTGTCTAACCGAAATCCAATGGCAGAACCTACAGGCATCAAGTTATGACATTATTAAAGAATCAAAACAAGGCAACAAAAAATGTGTAGCAAAAAAAACATGGCATCTCCGGAAAAGCGTGTATCGCTTGTGCACACACGCGCACACAGAATTGGCTGAGATTACACCAACACAGGTATTTGATTGGAGTAACCATAAAATTTATTTCCAACAAATGGATATATTAGACTCAATTCCTAAGAAGATTTGAGCATATAGGTTGCTTTGCATATCAAATTGCAGCAATGTGCAGCAGATCCAAGTTTCGCTATGATGCACCAAATGAAGAAACAGGTATCGTTATTCGATAGGTTTGTGGAAGGCATGGAAGTTCTAATCTCAAAGCACAAAGTCTTATTTTGGCATTGTAACAACATTGTGGGCCCAGTAAAGACCTAGCTAAGCTCTATCATGTTGGGGATTCTAAATGTTAATTGTTTTTTTTTTTTTTTTCACTTTACACCAATCATATGGTGTAGAGCTGGCCAAGTTTTTCTACTACTTTCTTTTTCTGGTTGAGCCAAACAGGTACTTTGAGTAATAAATTATATTTCAAGGTGAGATAAAAGGTTATCCTTAACTGTAGCATAAAAAACTTATATGCAATGATACTTAACATGTCTGATCAAAATCATGGACAATACATTTGAAGAGGACAAACTTCTACTCACCCCTTGCAGTTCCATGGTTCAAAGCGTTACCCAGTGAAAGAATAGTCTGCATGATTTTTTTCAACTTGGCCGAATTCCTGATCTAATAAGCACATTTGTTCAAAAGGTTTAAAGAGATTATCTTCAAAGAAATTCTTTATAAGAAACCAGAGGAAGCAAAATGGCAAAATAGATTACCTCTTCAGCTACAGAATTTACAAGATTCAAATTATTTCTGAGGTCAGAAACCTGAAATAAAAATAAATAAATAATTAAAAATTATTGTGAATGAACAGGCCAGATTGGTAATAATAACATAGAACAGAGCAAAACAATACGATGAGCTGTATTGGCCTCCAACCTGTGAACGAAATTGAATTTTAAATGAGAAGACTCTTAGCTTGGACTCGACCCGTGGCACTTTCATCAACTCCAAAAAGAACTGTCATAAAAGTTTTGAAGGAACATTAATTAGTGAAAATTTTAGAAAATTAAATAAATAAATAATAATTTATGATAGGAGACTTAAGGTACGTATGGAGTGATCCTCCCAAACCATACAAGGAAGTCAACTAGTAAGTCAGGACTAAGACTTCAATTGCAATGATGGGCCCAAGACAAACTGAGTAACAACTTACAGATGCTAATTAGAATATTGTCTTCTACAAATATTAATTGCATGGCCAAGAGATCAATTAATCGCATAGCAAGCCATAATCATAAGTTGATGGTGAAAAGTATTCACTCAGTGAGCCGTGGTGCAACCATGTCTAACCAAACAATAACTAAAATAGAAAATATATATATATAGAAAATAAAAATAAAAAAGAAGAGTGAAAAATGAAGATGAAGGAACTTGCTAACCTGTTCACATTTTCCTAAGTTCTCCTTGTCACCATTGAAATTCTGAACACAGAAGAACAGTTATAACTCAAAAGCTAGAGAAACTTATATATAAATATCATAATCAACCATAGGATTCTTTAGATTTAGAATATTTGGTGAGATGATAATAAAACTCCCGCCATTATAGACAAGATTATGAAAGATTCCAGACAAACAATAAATACTCAAAAATGGAATGTCCTTGCCTTGAGAAGTTCCATTTCTTCTTTTGTTGGACAGAACTTTATAAGATTATCAACCTGATCAACATCCAATGCCAAATCATCCAAGGCAAGGACTGAACTCTGTAAAACATATGTACCGAAGGAACAATTAAAGAAAAATGGATGAAAAATGCACCTGTACAGCATATATGTGGAGTTAGGATCTGTAAAAAAGACAAAAGGGCAATGCAGCATTGATTTCAATAATCGAATACCTTCCCTCTTGTTGGAGAATAATTATAGGAGTGATTTAAGCCCTTAAATCATTCCTTGACAGAATGTTAATGTTGCAATACTTGGGCAACAAACTGTTTCCTTATTTATATTTAACTTTCTGTGTAATTTCTTTATTACAAGTCTTCCCCAATTCACTTATAAATAGAGGTGGTTATTGTGAGAGAATGTAATGAAAGAGATGTAGCCATTTGGGATTTGTGTGTCGTGGATGTAAGCCCTAGTGGCTGAACCACAATATATCTTTGTGTTCTTCATTTTATATTTCTCTCTTCAATTTAAACATGGTATCAAAGCAAAGTTTATCATACCCTACTCTATACTCTACTCGTCTCGGATCTTCGGATCAACTCGTCTCATCTCCGATCTTCGGATCAATTTGTATCGGATCTCCGAATCAACTCATCTCAAATTTACTCATTTCAAACTCTCGACAATTTCAAATTTAATTTCAAGTTGGACAATTGAGTTAAATCCCCGTGTACCAACTTGAAGGGGTGTGCTGGAGAATAATTATAAGAGTGATTTAAGCCTTTAAATCACTCCTTGACAGAATGTTAATGTTGCTATACTTTGGCAACAAGCTATTTCCATATTTATATTTGACTTTCTATTTAATTCCTTTATTACAAGTCTTCCACAATTCAACTATAAATAGAGGTGGTTATTGTAAACAAAATCAAGAGAGAATGTAATGAAAGAAAGATAGCCATTTGGGATTTGTGTGGCGTGGATGTAAGCCCTAGTGGCTGAACCATGTTATATATTTGTGTTCTTCATTTTATATTTCTCTCTTCAATTTCAACACCTCTAATATTTCGACAAGGACCTAGCCAACTATGGATGCTTCCTTAAGTGGAGGTGTATTGAGCTATGAAGGGAATCTTGGATAAAACCCCTCTTCAGATGAACCCAGTGAAAACGGATGCAACAATTATTTGGTTTGTTTACAGTCATGCTTGCTATCACTTAAGGCTCATGGCTTATATGGCCATTTGACAGGAGTGAATAACAACTGAAACCATCAGACTCGCCTTATGATAATGGTTCTCATAAAACTCCTTAGTGATGATTTGACTGCTTCATTGTATGCAACAACATACCAGCCATGGTTATCTTCTCCTTGATACTGCTCATGCCATTTGGATGGTTGTTGCACAAACTTATTTGCAGATTGGGAATGAAGCTCAGGTTTATGAACTAAGGATAAATATCCATGATACGTTGAGTACTATACTGAACTTAATAGTCTATGAAAGAAGCTTGACTATTATCAAGGATTTCGGGCAGATTGTTTGAATGACACTGTCAAATTTCAAATTGATTTAAAAGGAACCAGTGTATGATTTTGTGGTTGGTATTAGTGGTGGATGCATCAAACAGAAAGAAAAACAAAGTCCTCTTGCAGCAGTAAAAGACTAGAACCAATTCAATCACCGTTGGAGCCAGATATCCCGGGAAATCTGGGAAAAGCTTGAGCAAAAGTTAATAATATGATAATATCTCAAAGTTGTATTGATTAAGACGTGTTAAAACAAATAAAAAGGGTCGTCCATTGTATAATACAACTGTTAATGACACTTAATTTTCTAGAAAGACCTTTAAGCTTTCAAGACAGCATTAATAACAACTTTTATTATTATTCCTATGACATCTTCACCTCCCCATACCATAATTGCTACCCAAATAAAAATACAACATATTGCATTAAACCAAATTATGGAAGGACAAAATTTCAAGGATGCTATGAATTGGCGTCATTTCATGTTTTTGTCAAATCAATAGCATCTGAAGGGCAATAACCACAAGGAATTTTAAAACCTTTTCGAATTCACACATTTTCTAATTTTAATATAATAATTCGTTTGTGTTAACCGAATTTTTTTTTTTTTTTGATAAGTTTGTGTTAACCGAAATATGGTAGCTTTAAATCATCCAATTTGACTTTATTTACACATATATTTAGGCATATAATTTGCAATGAATTTGAGTTTCCTTTCTTGTAATATTAACACGCACTCTTTTAGTATATAAATACCAGAACTGTGAATAAGTGATTTTTCTCATTCAAGCCTTTACATATTTCTCTTATATTTCTTCTTGGTATCAGAGCCATCACCTTTTCACAACCTCCAGCAGCCTTTCAGCTTATGTGAAGGACACCTAAGTCCTTTTCGCAACCAGCACAAGGCCACATGGTCTGCACAAGGGCCCTTGCGGCTAGTGCAACAAACACCCTAGGTTGTTTGCGACACCCTACCTACACATGGTCGTGTGAGTTGTTTGTTTTATGATCGAAAGCAAGTATTTCTAAGTTTTTGACAAATTTTTTTTTTTTTTTCTTCTAGGGTAGGGTTGGGTTCTGAACATTAAGGAGAAGACTAACTGGCTATATATAAGTGGGTAGTGCACCTAAAAAAAGTCTCTATTTGGACTTTTTGAGAATGGTCTAAGGAGACATTGTTAATTGTTTATGGACTGAAACTTTGATTAGTTGACAAGATTTGTGGTGTTTTGGAGTTGTTTATTGTCAAGTTACAGAGTATGGTAGCTTTAGAGTCCTCCACCGTTAATTCTCACGGCTCAAGTTCTATGGGTGGTGGTGCAATTTTTCCCACCAACTCATCAAAGAATCTAGGACTTCAGATCACTATAGCGAAGTTGGATGGTTTTAACTATTTGATTTGGGCACAGTCTGCTAGAATGTTCATTGGTGGGAAAGGCAAGATTGGTAATATTTTTTTTTTTTTGATAAGTAATTAAATAGTTATTTACTACTGACTGATGGAGTGGAGATTCGAAAGATTGGTTATATTACTAGTTCTGAGAACGAGCCAACTGATTTAGATAAGACGTATCCATAGTGGTTTGCATATAACGGCATGGTTATATCTCAGCAAGTCAATTCAATGCGGCCAGACATAAACATTGGCTATTTGTTTATGAAAATCGTAACATTACAACACACGTATTCTCGAAGGCAGAATAATGTAGGGATTTTTCGGTTGGGGCGAGATATCACCAGGATTGATTACTCGTGGTGACATGACAGATTCAAGTTACATCGCCAGGCTACATGCCATTTGGGAGGAGATGACTTATTATAATCCCTTCCACTCTTGGACGGATCCAAAGATTGCAATTTTATATGCGGGAATTGTGGAAAAGAATCAGGTGTTTCAGTTTCTTGCCAGATTTAACAATGAGTTTGAGTATGCTGGTGTTCTTTTGTTGGGCTTGTCTTCATACCCAACTTAAGAGGATGCATGCTCGTGTGTTGTAAGATGAGAGCAATCGGACTCATCCTTTAGGTGTTGCTCCTGCTAATCATTATGTTCTGGCAATTCTTGTTCCTAACGCTTCTCGCAATAATGTGTGGTGTGACCATTGCGAGAAGTTTGGTCACATCAAATCTCGTTGCACTAAATGGACGCCCACCGCAACAAAAGCAACAGTAGCCTCAATCCTTTGTGCATTCTGTTACAAAGTCAGACTCTTTGTCGACTCTTGACTACTCTGCTTCTTCATCCACTGCCACAAGTTAACTTGACTCAGGCTTGATTTGGACAAGTTCAAACAGTCAAATGGAGGCATCTTCCCAACCAACCTCCACTTATGCCCACTTAAGTTCTATTGCATTTGCACATAGTATATTTACATCTTTGGCACCATGGATCATTGATTCTGGTGCTTCAAACAATACGACTGGTATGAAGTTGGGTGGTCGTGGTATTAGACAATTGATTCCTTTTAATCACCTTGTCAGATGTGAGCGAGTTTGCAAGCCTATGAAGTTGGGTGGTCTTGCTATTAGACGATTGATTTGTGGAGATTCGGGAAGGAAAGGCATCGTCTTTGGCGAAGGTTAGTATCTTGTCGATATGGGGAAGACGTTGGCGGTTGGACTACACGCCTGGTTTCTATTACGGGAGGAGTTGGGGCATGGAAATCCATTCAGAAGGGATGGGATGCTTTTTCTTCTCATATTAGATTCAAAGTTCGTGATGGTAGATGCGTCCGTTTTTGGGAAGATCTTTGGTGTGGGGATCAACCATTATTTCGCACATTTCCCAGATTATATAGTATTGCAGTTGACAAACATGCCTACGTGGTTAACTGTTATCGGCTTGATAATAGTGGAATTACGTGGAATGTGCACTTTAGGCGGTCATTTCAAGACTGGGAGTTGAACGAGGTGAGTATTTTTCTGGACCAATTGTATCGGCAGGAAGGAATTGGTAGGGGGCATGACAATTTGATAAGGATTCCCTCTTCTCACGGTCATTTTGAAGTAAGATCCTTGTTCTTATGTCTGTCTAATTTTGTTAGCTTTGACTTCCCTTGGAAAACTATATAGCGCTCTTCGGCACCTACTAAGGTGGCATTCTTTGTGTGGACAGCTGTGTGGGATCAAATTCTGACGATTGATAATTTGAGGAAGAGGGGAAATTGTATTGTTAATTGGTGCTGCCTTTGCAAGCAAGATGGGGAATTTGTTAATCATCTTCTAATGCATTGCCCTGTGGCGTACGATTGTTGGAATCTTATTCTTAGACTGTTTGGCATGTGTTGGGTAATGCCACGTTCTACTAAGGATTTGATTCATGCTTGGAGAGGATGTCGCGTGAGCAGGGGTGTGCGCGATTATTGGAGAAATGTCCCACATTACGTCTGGTGGTCCATCTGGAATGAGAGAAATAGTAGAATGTTTGAAGGGAAGGAGTCATCTACGGCGACACTGAAACTTGTTATTATTCGCTCTCTCTTTAGTTATGTGAAGAGGAGTTCTTGCTCTTCTTTTGATGTTTTAATTACTTTTCTGGATTCTTTGGGGCCTTAGACCCCGA